TGAATTCTTGGTAAGTGCTATAGTATTCAATCTAAAAAATTTGAGTATTTTAAATATAACTACATTTTCAGGAAATATATGCCTGTAGTTTTAATCCAGGTTGGTTCACAAAATGCATCTCTCAATAGCACCAATTAACCCTCTGCAATTTTCTGCAAAAATTTATCATATGTCGCCATAATTTCCCACAAAATTTGTCAATTGCCCACAAAGTTCAATCCTTGAACTGTGCTGCATTATTAGCTGTGGTCATATTCCTCGTTCAGATTCAGTAATCCCTACTGCAAAGTGGGCATGTATGGACAACAGGCGAGCAACGACATCTCTCTGCCCATGATTGAATCACCTTGCAAAATGATTCCTCAAGGCTTCCACATGAAGAATGACTAATTGGGTATGTTGCAGTGAACTGCTGCCACCTGTTCCATAAACCAGTAGAATGCATGCCGGCACAAGTTAAATTACTTCAGGGCAAAGAGAACATGGAGGAGGATAAAACAGTTTGCAGGTTATAAAGCTTCCACACACAGTTTATGATAGATGTAATTAGCAGGACAAATATTATTCAATATGATAACACTTGCATTTGATACAGTGCCTTATCACGTTGTTGAGACGCCTCAAAGGCCTCACAGAATATATTGTAAAGAGGATCGACTGTATATTTTGTGGGCGAAAGGCAAGTCATTTTTACTAGATTGAAGTCACGCATTTTTCAAGAATCAATCATCATTCTAAAGTGTCAAAATGTTTCCAGAATTGCAATGTTTAAAATTCTCAGGAGTTAGTTTGCGCAATATTAAAATCTAAACCAGTTTGCTTCTATATTTCAGAACATTTCAAGGTTATAAGCTGGTCTCAAAACAATCCATGGTTGCTAAAGTTACCATCAAAACAATGAACAGCATGACAAGTTTAACAAAAACACACCCTTGCTATTTCTAAAATTGCTGGATTAAATAATTAGATTCCCACCTCAAAAATAGAATTAAAATCCAATTTCAAAATACATCTGCCCGTCAGTTTCAATTTCATTGCTGAATTTAAAACCATTATGTACTTAAAGAAAGATTGACAATACTAAAAATGAGATGCGGACTTGAATCTCTGCAAGTTATAACATATAAAATTATCTATGCAAATGTGAACATCATAACCAATTTTGTTAGCTTCAAGTAGTGCCTGAAGCTAAAATGAGAAAAAAAATTGCTTGCACACTAGACTGAATTAGGATTACTCAAATTATCATATATGATTCCAGGACTCTAAAGTGTGTTTAAAAGAATATTTCCTCAAAAGAGGTATGCTCTCGAAAGCATACATTGAAAAAAAATCATGAAACATCTCCAGAGAATAAAAAGCAAGGACTCCTTGATGCATTTTGAATGTACCAAATAACACTTGGTGAAAATCAATTTGTATTCCTTCGACAGTGGATATGTACACCAACTCACTCCTCACTGGTCTCCCCAGCTCCACTATTCACAAAGTCCAACTAATTTAAATTTCTGCTGCCGTTATCACTGTACCAAATTCCACAACCACATGACCCGAGTCCTCGTCAGGCTCCAATGGCTCCCTGTTTCAGATGGATGGATGGAATGATTTCAAGGTCCTCACCTACACTTCATGCCCTGATACCTCCCTCTCTGATCTCCTCAAACCCCACTCCTCTATCAACCCTCTTCACTCAGCCGGCACAAGCCTTGTTCCCTGCACCATTGGCGGGCGCACTGTCCGATATTATGCCCCAAACCTCTGGAACTCTGCCTTAATCACACCATCTTGACCCCTCTTTGCCTTTCTTCAGATCACACTTTGACTTTCCTGTTTGATCGTGCCTGTGGTTACTTCCCCCTTCACAGCCCAGCGTCAAACTACACCATTGTTAAATGCTCTGAAATGCTATTCCATGTGAAGGGAGATATATACATGCAAATTGTTGTTGGATATGACAGCTAACATCTGTTGCATTTTTACCCCTCATGAAGATTCTCATTTAGAACAAGTTGCCTGTTTTGGGAGGGGAAACAAATAGCTTCCACTTGAAGTTAATCATTTCACTGAAAATTTAGCACATCAACAACAATGATGTTGAATACATCATTTGTATAGCGCCTTTCACATCGGGAGGTCATCCTAAGGCACTGAACAGTCAGGGATTTGGACCCTAGGTGGGGGTTGGGATCAGGAAGCACGGGGGCAGGGAAGATAGGAGTAGGAGGGTAAATGAAGAGGAGGATCTTGAGACGTGCCTTGGATGAGGCAAGAGAGGGAGCGAGGCAAAGAGACTGTGGGATAGAATTTCAAAGGGTGGGGTCAGAGAGGCTGAAGGCCCGACCGCCGATGATGGGGTGGATCAGCCGGGGGAACATGCAGCAGGCTGCTGATCAGAGGGAACGGACCAGTCAGTATGGAGTTAGCAGTAATAGATTTAGAAAGGAGAAACCCCGTGGAGAGCCTTGAAGTTGAGCACAAGGATTTTGAACTCTATCCTCCGGGGGATGGGGAGCCAGTGGAACCAGGCAAGGGTGGGGGTGATGGGGTCACTGAGCCTGGCGCAGCAGAGGACACAAGCTGCAGAGTTTCTGAATGATTTGTAGCTTGTGGAAGGAAGAGTTGGGAAGGCCGATAAGCAGGGAGTTGGCATATTTGAGCCTGGATGCGATGAATATGTGGATGAAGGTCTCGGTGGCCTGAGGGGAGAGGCATTGGCAGAGCTGGACAATGTTCCAGAGGTGGGGGAAGGCAGAGAGGTCCATGGTAGAGACGTGGGATAGAAAGGATAGTTGAGGGTCAAACAAGACACCAAGAGACTTCATCATGAAATACATTGGGTATAATTCTATTCCACCAGTACCACTAACTATAATTCTTTCCAGAAGTTCTGCCAGTTATGCAAGAAACCCAAAACCTCATCACAATGCCTATAGTTTTGCTTACAACTCGCAAAATACCCCTTTACCCAAACCTAGTTTTAGTAATTAGGACTGGATTATATTAAAACATGAATGTGTGCAGTGTAAATTACTGAAGGGATGTTTTCTTGAAATTCTGCCATATACCAAAGCAATGCTGTAACACAGTCCACAGTCTTCGGAATCTAATCCACAATCTTATCACCTTTAAATAACTATATAAATACTTGCCCTTCATATCAATTCACCCATGACAACATAATTTTTAGGTAAAATTTTAAAACACAGGGACTCACCTTCCAGCGCACCAATCCTCCTGATATTGTAGTTTGTAGATGTATACCATGGATAAGACATGATGTGCAATTTGAAAGTCAGGATGGAGACCTGTCCAAGAGCAATTTTAAGACCATGCCTCCCTCAGTCATATCATATTGAGTGTGTCCGATAGTGCTCTGGGACACTACCCTGTGTGAAGGACGCTATATAAGTGCAGGTTGTTGCATCACTCTCAAGATACTATTTTTGTTTGTAAAATTGCGCTGCTATAAAATTAAGGTTAAAAAGACCTTCACAATGGAGATTTATACAAACTCTTGAACACGAACCTGTATTGTGAGTATAATCAGGAAATAAGAAAGACTTGTAGTCACGCCTATGAAATTGGCAGAAAAAAACACCCAGTTAAAACACCACAAACTGGTCTGCATAGGAGGAGAGGGAGGACACTGGTATGCAGTCAACCATCAATTGAGGAATGCCATTTAGACTTCAATACAGGTAGAAAGTGAAACACTATTTCATAATAGTCCATGAATCCTGGCTTGCCCATGAATCAGGATACGTGGCCTACAATGAATCTTCACATAAAATAGAGCACACTTATCTAAGATCAAGAAAGCGTTCAGCTACACTTGAGAAATGTGTGCAATTAAATAGACATTATTCGGGAATACATTGCAAAATGATTATTATTCAGAAGCCTTTAAACTTCCAAATTAAGTTTGAATTAAAGTACAGTGGAAGCCGCTTAAAATGGACACATCGGGAAGAGGTCCAATTAGCAGCCACTTCAAAGTAATGGACAGGCTGAAGCCATTTATGAACGGAGGAGAATTCCACGTATTCACAAGCGTCTCCAGTTATCAATCAATTGTGATTCGACTCCTCCCATTCCCTCCCTTAAATATAAAACCATGAGAATATTTTTGTTTATAAAACATTATGAGTTGTACATGATACAACATAAGCCTCCTTTTATCTGTACCACTTCAAAACTTTATCTGAAGAAACGTAGGTGATCTGTCATCTTATTGTCCGATTATTCTTTGTCATTCAGTGTTCCACCACTCTTGTTGAATCAAGGGGAGAGAGAAGGTGGGAAAGAATAATATTGATTGGGTGCCTCATTGACAAATGTAGGACCTGGACAGCTCCCTTACATCGTGGTGACCAGAATTGTGTGCAGTATGTAAGTTGCAATTTGACCAGAGCCCCGAACAGCCAGAGTATGATGTCTGGGGATCTAAACTCAACTGATTTAGCAATATGGCACAGCACCCCGTTTGTCAAAACATTGTTACAGCAGCATACAAAGCAAAGTGAGCAACGAGTCAATTAACACCCCCAGATCTTTTTCAGCTACCGCCTTGCTGAGTTCAATCCCCTCCCTGGAATACTTGCATTTCCTATTCATTCATGCATTTATCAATATTAAGCTTAATTTGCCAATTATTGGTCCATCTGCATTCCCTATTCAAGCTCATTGTAGGACTTTTTTGCTACCCCCTGATTCCACAGTTCCCCCCAACTTGGTGTCAACTGCAAATTTAACTCTTATAGAAATAATATAAAAGGATATGAGGAACAGGAGGGGTCCTAGTACAAACCCATGAGGCACCCTGCATCTCACAATAGTGAGCATGTAAAAATATAACGAAAAGGAGAAATAGAGTGCCATACAAATATAATTTCGTTATTGTTGAAAAAAAAAAGGAAAAAATATCAAAGTTTAGTTAAGGCGTAGTGTATACATTTCTTCAATGCAAAATCCAAGCAATTAAAAGATCCACAGATTCTCACCTCTTAACTGGTTGTATGTTGAACTGCCAACTTGTCTTGCACACCATGAACCAGTCCTAGGAAGGGTTTTACTTCCAGGAACTGTGGAATCTCGGTTTGTTCCTGCATTTTTTTTAAAAAAAAGTTACATAAATTAAGATTGGTTTTAGCTTAGAAATTCAAAAGCTCAGCAGTGCAATGTTTTTCAGAAACCAGACAAATACTGCACACAATTACTGACAAAGTAGAAGGACCCCAGGGGCTAGTGAGAAAATACTCACATTCACATTACAATTAGAAAACCTCTTTACATTAAAAAAAATACATTTTGCTAAAAATAAGTGTATTGTGTATTTCTCAGATACTGACGCTTACTCAATTGCTGCTGGCACGTGAAATCATCCAAGTTGGTAAAAGTCAAGTAACAAATAATGGAGCAATGAAAGAGAACTTCACGCTGAAAGCTGCATTCACACAAATCCAAATTGGAATTTGATACTTCAGTTAGGCGTTTTAGGACAAATTAACTTATTTTATAGCTAGAAAACAGACTGCACTGCTTGCCCACAGGGTGGGATGATTTGCTCACCATTTCTCATCTATAATATAAAATAATAATCCTTGCATTTGATAAAGCACCTTATCAAGTCTGAGACATTTCTAAACGCTTCACAGAATATACTGTAAAGTGAACTGACTATATATTTTGTGGGCGAAACACACCAGCCAATTTTGAACAGCAGTGTCCCATAAACACTCGTGGATTGAGTGACCAATTTTTATTATGATTATTTTCTTAAGGAATTAGTACCCCTGAAAAAGCAATCCACCAATCAACTAACCACCAGGTTCCTACTTACTCCTAGATAAACAGAGGTGTGGAGTAAGGAAACTTGCCCAAAGTTTCGCCCTGCCGGGAATCAAACCCAGGTCTCTCGCTTGTGAGGCGAGTACTATAACCATTGAACTGCAGGACTCCCTCATAGAAAGTTTGCCTCTCCAATAAATATTAAAGGATTCCTATGTTTTTCTCTGTCCATTTGACATAACCTGCATTATACAGATGATAAAACTGTACAAAACTGAGTATTTCACTGTGTTAATCACATTTGATGGAGGTGATTTATTTTAGAAAATAAGGCAGAGAGAAAAAAAATTGGATATTGATGAATGGTCAAATTGATCTTCACCCTGCCAATTAGTTTTCAGATATGTATCCTTAGGGATTCCCACAAGTTAACTGTTAAAGGCTCCAGGAGAGAGAAGATTGATTCCCATTTCAAGTTCCTCTCAATTCTCAAATTTGCATAACAATCCAAGTCATTAAGGACAAAAGGAGAAGTTCTAACTTGTCCCAATGAGAAGATTTTAGTCAAGATATTATACTGTTCATTTTCTGATGGAAAGCTTCTAGTAAAAGATAGGAGAGAAGACTTATTTTGACAAAGACTGAACATAAATATTAAGTCATTTTTGAAGTTGTGAGAAATAAAATTGAATTACATTTTTCCAATTCATAATTTTTCCTTCTGTCAGTCAGGTATACATCCTTCAAAACACAGGAACTGGCTGCTTTTATGTTGCTTCTTAATTTGTATTTTACAACTGCATTCCCACATGAAAATAGGCAAAATAAAATTCTGGGTTTGTATAATAGGATGTAAATATTCTTAACATTTACAGTAAAAAAACTTGTGTATGTTAAATGCAGTCACCTTTCATTCTGCTTATTCACTTATTGATACATGAAACACCTTGCCAAAAGATCATAAAAATTACAGAATAAAATGAGCCAACTCGGCCTATTGATCAAGTGGCAGCTTGTCAGGTGAGGCACTGCGAGACCAGCGCAGGAGCAGAGACCCACAGACCTACAAGAGGGTGGGAAAGTGGACACAGTGAGAGTACGAGACCCAACACAGGACCAGTGGAACTGGTGAACGAGCGGAGCTGGGCGAGAGCGGGTATGTGTGACTGCCATCTAAAGTCATTGCGTACGCACAAAGGGCATGTTGCTGTAGGAACAAGGTAGCTTGGTGAGGCAAATTCATAGATTGCCTCATCTGTCAAAAAGATCACCAGCTGCTACTGCTGTTGAACTGGAGTTAACTCTCCTGTACTTGTATTTCGTTCTTCAAGAATTTAGCGATTTTTTTTACCATGGTTACCTCAGTCACCCACTTAATAATAATCCTTGATTTGATAATGCAAATACTTGCATTTGATATACCTTAACAAGTCATTGGGATGTCTCAAAGCACTTTACAGAATACAGTGTAAAGTGGATTGACTGTATTTTGTGGGGGAAATTTGGTAGCCAATTGTGAACAGCAATGTCCCACCAGCAGTTGTGGATTGAGTAACCCAATTTTTTTTGAGGGATTATATCCCCGGGAAAGCAATCCACCAATCGGCTAACAGTTGGGTTCCTACTTATTGCTAGTTAAACAGAGGATTTTATTGCTAACAACAGGCAAGGAATCCCAGTCATGAACCCCCCAAAACGACTGCTCAGTGAATGGAGTGACTGCAGGCCTCTGCTCCCAAATCTTATAATTTCACAAATCATTTTAAAACAAAAGCATGTTTGAAAGTGCAACCTGTCAAACATTGTAACAAGTTACATCTCAGATCAGCTTTACAATTCGCAAATCTTGAAATATTCAAAAAGCAGAAGACTATTAAAAAAGACAAAAGTGGAAACTAGATGTGGATTTAAAAACAAATTCAAGAATTATTCACATTGTATTCTCTGTAACATAGAATTCATCTCACCTCTGTTTGGGGTCTTCACAGAAGATGCATTTTTCTGGACCTCTAATTTTGCTGCCTGTGCTCGAACGCTGCTAGTGTGTGCAGATAGCAGACGTTTCCTGGGACCATCTCCTGCTTGACTACTAGAAGCAACTGCAGCTGAGGGAGAAAAAAAATGGATATAATTCACCTGAATTTGAAGTCATAAATTGCTGGGCTATTATAATGTAAACAAAAACATTTCCTAGAAATCTGTAGTGTAGAATGTTGGATATAGACTTGGTCGATATTTTTGAAGTTTCCTCCCCAGAGAGTTTCCCAGAGTCAGAGATAGCACCAACTATTGCAGGATCACAAGAATTCTCTTAATAAGAATTAGCTCATTCTTCAAATGGATAAACTGGGTTTCCAGCACTGAATAATGCTTTGCACAAACTTTTAAAGAACTGTCAATTATTGACTCTGAAGACTTGAGAGATGCAACAAAAAGTTGCATCTCAGAAGTTGTTCATGGTGATTGGGGTCATGTGTTTTTGTAGGTAAAAGTAGCAGCCGGTTTTTATAAAAAAATCATACCATTATCCATGCTTTGAAAGACCGATTTAGTTATAGTATTGGGGGGAGGGGGGAGATGCTGCTCATACAGATTGCTCATACAGTGCATGAAGCAGGTTGCACCAAGCAAAAATATCAGCAGAAATGCAATTGGAAAACGTGACAAGTACAGGGAATCAGACATTTCAGTTTACTAAAAATAGATACATATCCCTCAAAATGTACATTGCTGAACGTGCGCATGATGTGACAGTGAATATTCTTGGAGTTTCATATAAAGTTATAATAAGGATCAAACAAATATTGTGAAATTCACTCATTTTCTCAAATGATTTGATTAACTTAAACTACAGGCACTGAATCTCAGAGTCAGAAGACCAACTTACATTACCAGCTTAAAATTTATAATACTTGATTTTATATAGCAACTTATTATGTTGTTGAAACATCTTAAAGTGCTTCACAGAATAAACTATAGTGAATTAACTATTCATGGGCGAATTGCAGCAGTCAATTGCACACAGTGGTGTCCCGCAAACAGTCATACATTGAGTGAGCAATTTACTATTATTCTTTAAAGGGATTACCACCCTCGAAAAGCGATCCACAATCGACTAATAACCTGGTTCGAACTTACTGCTGGGTAAGCAGAGGCGTTTGGAGTAAGGAAACTTGTGTTAGGTTGTGCCCTGCCCGAGAATCAAACTCAGGTCTTCTCACTTGTGAGACAAGTTCTCTAACCACTAAGCTACAGGACTCCTTGAGACAGGATGACTCCAAGTGGAGAGCTTTATACCTGTGGCATTCCTCGAACCAAATGCCACATGTCAGTTAGTTAATTCTTAATGCAGGCAGAAGCCTTGCTGGCTTGTCAAAACTGTTTAAGATCTTAAGGGTGATTAATCAAAGCCCTACATATAATGTACATTTACATTTAAATAATTACATTTCATTTATTCTATAAATCCAAATCTTATCTAATTGCCATATTTGTCCAATAACAGGATTCGGTGAACTGGGAAAGTCATCCAAGAGATCAATATATTTATTGAACTCCACTTAAAGGGAATGCGTTTCAATTTAGTAGGATTTGTGAGATTTGCCCCCTTCTCCACTGATGAAGAAATCTGTGCAAATTGGATTCACTCTTTTTTTACAGTCTTTTTTTACTGGCACAGCATATTAATTTCTGTCACAGCTACACAACATATAGTAAGTACATTCATGTATTTTCATATTCATGTTCACAATGGCATATCACAGCACATTAATTTCTTCTGCAGCTCCACCATGCCATGACGGCGGAGGAGGGAAGGGGGCAACAATAATTTTAATAATAATTGTTCTATCCTGTTTTAATTCAAATTCCACACAATAGAGAGTATGACGTTTCCATTTCATTCACACATTAAGCATCCATTTTACAAAGCAGAACGTTATACTGCTAGAGGACAAACCAGGACCAAGGAAAGCAATACCAGCAGCACATCAGGTTTGCTCACACAATTCACTTGAATTCACACAGATCAATGGCATATCGCACAGCCTGAATTACATCCCTCCTTATGAAATTAAATCCACAGGCTTGTCCCAAGAATTTCTTTTTGGCTAAATTCAGAGCATGTGTATTTCCTCAAAGGGTAATGCCCAACTATGAAAGGCAAGCATAAAGCACAATGCCTTACTCTTAAGCACAAGTATACCTTGCACCTGCTGCTTAATAGTATACAATGTGCAATTGATGCAGCGCAATATTTTTGCATTCATGTGCAGAGACAACCATTCAACACAATTTGCATTTCTGCAATTTTTGGACAGTAAAGAGGTACACAGCACACAATCACCACAGTAAATGCACATTTGTTCAATTGTCTCCAGGGCTACATTTCCATCACAAAGAGTTTTAAGATTACAGCACCAAATCTTCCCAAAGCAAATCTTCTGCTCTTACAATAAGGATTCTCTCCATCACAGAAGTGATTGCCTTTGTGTCACCAGACAGGTTCTCGTAAATAAATGACAACAAGGATTTAACTTCTGCATTTCCAGCTTAAGTAACATTCACTGTGCAATTTTCAACAAAACCATCATTTAATAAAATCTATGGACCAAAAGAATTTCAATTTCTGATTTGCAGTCAAACAGTTGAAGGTGCCTTGAAGGTAACTTACTTTTGAAGTGCTGGTATTTAGGTCGGCTAATGAAGACTGCTAACAAAGGAACAATACAAAACCCATAAGATCCAATTAGCAGAAAGGTCACAAAGATGACATCACTACGATTTCCTGAAGTGTTTGGTGGCACAAGCGTTGAATTAAAGAAAATACGAGGAGAAAATGTGGTGAAGGTACAGCTTCGAAGTCCTCCTGGTATAGTCATTGAAACGGTCCAAAGTCAGGCATATGCAGTAGTAACATTTCAACCTTGCTCATGCTGCCATTTCCACTATGGTGACCCTCAGTGAAACAGAGTGGAAATAAACTAAGTTGCTAGGCATGCATGTGTCTTGTTCTCCAGCCAGCCACACGCACACGCACACACACACACGGAGCTGGCCAATCAAAGGAACAAAAGGGTAGCAGCATCATACGAAATGCAGGCTTCATTTGAACAGTGCATCAGCTGAAATGGCTGTGCAGGATCCTTTCTCTGCAGCAGTGTTAGCTTGTTCAGAATTTTTAAACCCAAAACCAAATTTGCACAATTAATCCACCCATTTTTCTTCCGTTTGCCAAATGAAACTGCTCTTTACATGCATATCTTTGTGTGTATTCCTGTTCTTATTGTCAAAGATCCTTAAAACATTCTTTTGCACAGTGCCTCGCCACATATCCTTTGTTCCCGGGTGTTGCCAAGGAATTCTGCTGTTCATTTCTTGGAGGCTCATTGTAATGCAGGATTGACAGCAAAACAAAACATCATTTGGAAATCCTATTGTCAGACAATAGAGCATGTTCCGTTTCAGAAAATACTTAGAAAATGTGCTAAACACTTCCTTACCTCCCTCCTACCCCCGCAGATCAGAAGGCTTAAAGCATAATTACAATGTAATGAAAAATGTGAAAACAGGGATCACAGTAATCAGCGATACCAATGCAATTTTACAGATTAACTCACAGCAGTATTAATCCAAACTATTTAATGATAACCGTTCAACAGTATTGTCAAGTCATATTTACTTAACCAGCTATATCTTTTTACATTTATTTTTCTAAGGCTGCTCTTTAGCCCCTTTCAGCATACAATCTACCATTCTCAAGATACGCAGTGAGGTGTGAATGAGCCTGTCAATTTGGGGGGGAAAAAAAACATTCTCAAAACTGCAGTTGCTGATTTATTTCTCTTGAACCACCTCCTTATCAGATTCTTTGCATTTTAAAATTCATTCCTTTGTCCCTTATATCGCTTTGTCATCTATTTAACTGCATTAGCTTCTATTACCTATTCACCGTTTTTTTTGCAAGCATGAATTTCAACCACTGTCTCGCCTCAATGTTTTTTTTTGAATGTTTTCCACACAATTGACAATTGAGTTCCAGTCAACGAATTTTGCATTCCTTCCAAGTCTACATTCAGACGTTTGTGTTACTGCATTTTCTACTATTCTCACATTAGTACAAATGTGATACCATGAGTTCTGACCACTTAATGGATTGAATTGCCAGCCTTATTTACCAAACGTGGTCATTTCCCACAATTAATACAGTAAGGGGTCACATCCCTGTATGCTGAACAGAGACTGTTAGCTTTTCCATTGTTGTTTTATGAACTGAATAATTAATGTAGAATCTTTATTTTCACGTCTTCTAGACGTCTCAAAGCGCTTCACAGAATATGACTGTATATTTGTGGGCGAAACAAATAAAATTGGTAACTTCAATCCACAACTGCTTGTGGGACACTGCTGTGCATAATTGGCTGCCACGTTTCGCCCACAAATACAGTTAATTCACTTTACAGTATATTCTGTAAAGTGCTTTGAGACGTCTAGAAGACGTGAAAAGTGCTATACCAAATGCAAGGATTATTCTTACTCCTCCAAATTTATTGTTCATTCACTGCATAACTACAATGTTTGCCTACAAAAATAGCCACAACACATGACAATTATTACTGTGCAGCAATTGGAGAAGCTGTCATTCATAAGTATTGTAAAAAAAATACAAATGCTTTGTTGACTGAGAAACAAAAATAACTTCCATACAATAGATGGTACTCAGATGCCACAGAATAGATAGCTCACAAGTACACATCAGAGTTCATACTGATATTTGCACAGCTATATTTAGTCATGCAGAGAGAGAAAAACCTTGTTGTGACAAGCAATGTAAAATAAGTTCAATACTCTCTGAAAGTCGCACTATGAGTTAAGGTACCTTTTGAGCTAAGGTTCAGCCTGTCTCAGTTAGTAGCACTCTCACTTTAGAGTCAAAAAGATTTGGGGTTCAAGCTCCACATCAGAACTTATGAATTACATTCCAATGAAGTGCTGGGGTGTGTGCTGCATTGTGAGATTCCATCATTTGGACAGGACAACTGAGGTCCCTAACTGTTTAGATGGACATTAAAGATCCTATGGCACAATTCAAAAAGAGAAGGAAGTTTCTCACACCATCTTGGCCCATAAATCCCCAGATAATTGATCATTCACTTCTTAGCTGTATGTGGGACAATGTTATGTGTAAATCAGCTGCCACTTTCATCCATAAAGTTTCACGCACAAAATCTAGTGAATTCACTTTACAGTATATTCTGTGAAGAGCTTTAAGCCATCTCGAAGACATGATAAGGAGCAATGCAAGGATTATTATAAATAGTTACTACACTTCACAGTAAAATCACAAGAACCAATTCAGGCATCTCAATGACGAGATAAGGCTTTTGCAAATACTAGATTATGGATGACTTAGTTGTAATTGTATACAAAACTATTAAGTGTCAAATCATACTATTCAACCATACTGTTATAGAGACAATCGGAAACGTTTCCATATGAAGGCTCATAGCAAGAACACTTACACTTAGCACTGTAACTACTTGGAAAACTCTGAATGGATGCATCACTGCAGAAAGATGACAAACTGTTGCTTCGCTGCAACAAAGAAGCTGCAACAGGCAATTTGAAGCCAATTGTAGTTTTCACTGCATTAACTCCCAAGTTCAGAGTAGCAGCTTTCGTTGGTGCAATTCTCAGCTTTCCTTTAAGAGTGGAATTCCCTTTCTGTTTATCTGCAATTGTAAGAAAATGGTCAATTAAAAATAGAACTGACAGATGAAAATCCTACAAGGGATTAAACAGGAACTACCACAAATATGGCAACAAATATTTTTAGCCATAAAAAGTCCTAATAGGCTGTGTATTAACTGCCAGTAGAATGTCAGTAAGACAACTTCAGGATTTTCCCAGGGAATAATGTTAAACCTGCTGAGGATCGTGAAGCTTATCCATAACAGAGTTTTCAATTAGAAAACTTTGGTTACAAGTCTGGTGGCTTTCAGCATCTATTCTATTGCTGAATTTTCCAGTTTGGATTGATCGTTTATATTGCAAACAATTCTATTTTGGGGCCCAGTGTGCAGTTAAAACTGCTTTTAAATTGATCTGAATCACCACGGGAGAACTTAATCATAAGTTTCCAGTTCAATTTCACTTCACCTTTTCTCTCCCCCTCGCACAAAACTGCACCCAAAATGTCCATTACAGATCAGACTGATTAGTGACGATGCTCATTGCATTGGAGCAAAAGTCTTCCATTTACTAAAAATTCAACATCGAGGTCCAGGACTTTATCCAAATGTTACATTATATACACATCAACTAATTACATTTACTGTTGAATTGTGAATAATTCCTTTTAGCTCAATTGAATTTTTGAAAGAAAGGAAGGAAGAGAAAGAAAGAGAGAAAGAGAGAAAGGGAGTCATCTTCCAGGTGCATTTTATTGATACATACACTGTCCAGCACTGAAACACCATTCAGTGCAACCATTCCGTGCTGATGTTTATACTCCATACCACTCTCCACTCATCCCAATATCCTCTCCCACACCACGCACTAGACTATTAGTTAAGGTACATAACTGCTTATGGAATGTTTTAAGGAATGCAACCAAATATCATGATCCCTTTGTAATCACCAAATCCTTTGCTTTAAGATCTGGTGTTCAGTTGAGGAGTGGTAAAATATTACTACAAGTACCACACCTTACCACAAGTAAAGAGGAATCCCATCAAAGTGTTCAAATTTCTCTTCATACTGCTATATCTTTTACATGATAAATGCTGGTTCCCCTTTGGCTTCGAAATCACTCACATGTAATACAATTCTATCCCAATCCGAGGCAAAATCACTCATCTATGCATGGAACCTTGGTGGTACCCACAACAAACCTAATCAATTACTACATAACAATTCGCAGAGGCTGAGAGCCATTTGCTTTCGGGACAGTTTTTCAGGCTGTATAGTTAGAGAAATGATTCAGCTCATCCTGCAGTTCAACATAAACACAATGGTGGTGTTACTTCTCAAACAATTTTGAGTAAGGCTGTATGTCGTGGAGTCCTGTAGCTCAGTGGTTAGAGCACTCACTTTGCAAGCGAGAGACCTGAGTTCAATTCCAGGCAGGGAGAAACCTTGGGCAAGTTTCCTTACTCCACACGCCTAATAATAATCCCTCCAAAACCCCAAAAAACAATAATAAATTGGTCATTTTCAATCTGCGACTGTTTGTGGGACACTGCTGTGCGCAATTGGCTGCCGCGTTTGCCCACAAATATACAGTCAATTCACTTTACAGTGTGTTCTGTGAAGCGCTTTGGGACGTCCTCCCGACGTGAAAAGCGCTATATCAAATGCAAGGATTATTATTATTATTATTATTATTATGTCAGACCAAGACAATGGAAGAGAACTCAGTAGAAACTGAAGTACATAACCCATGACCTAAAGCAGGCCTGGTCTTTTACCTCATGTCATGTGATGATGGCAAAAATACCATACAAGCCCAACTCTGACTGGCATGAAGTCATTTGCTAACCCCAAATACAACACCAAGAACTATATGACCTATAGCAGTCACATTTTCCATTATGCACACGATGCATTGGACTTCCAGCTCACCACAAGTTCACCAAATACTTTTTTTTTAAAAAGACAATATCCCTTTAATCTTCAAGGAAGTACCGTGTTTTTCTGCTTTCCGCCATCATAATGTATCATCATATGTACCATCATGGGGGTATTAAGGGATACGAGGAGAAAGAGGAAAATTGGAATTGAAATTCTAGTAAAGATATAGATCAGCTATGATCTAATTAAATGGTGGAACAGGCTCGATGGCCTACTCCTGTTCCTATAAAGGTCCTCAAGGGATTCAAACAAACCCTAGGTAACCATGACAATCAGATCAAAACACTCAAATATTTGAGCATGCTTCAAAATGTCATGACTGCCCATCATACACTTATAACACAGTTAAGAATTTAATGCACAACCAATTTAACTGTGAAGAATTGAATCTTATTCTTCAAAATAGTTACTGATAATTGAATAAGATCTTTCACATTGATCTAATTTAAAATTTACTGCAACAAACAGATTTTAAAAATAGGGATAAATTTGATATGTAGTTGTACAACATATTTAAAATTGCTGTCCACTTTGAACAGATACAAATCACATATCTTTAAGGGAGTATTATTGGATATTTACCACTATCTGTTAACCATTCAACTACTTTAGTAGCATGCCACCCTATGGCTTTGTGCAGTACTACAAAGAAACTAAAATGCAAAAAAAATTATTACCTTAACACTAACTTTCATTTCAAGAGACTCCAAATAGTTCAAGCACATCAGACAAAATACAATACAATTTACATAGCGCATGTCCATTACATTAAGAGGACACCTCAAAGTGCTCAACCACGCTGGATGGATACTCGAATTGAGGTGGGAGTCGAGGGAGGTGGGGAGGGGAAAGATGAATCAAAGAGGTAAGCGATCCAAATATCCTACTTTCAGCCTAATATAAAATATCATGGCTCAAAATGCACTTCTTACATGCTTTAGTGCAAGAGAGCAGGGGGGGGTTAACAACATGCTCGTGTGAATTTACATTTAAAATTGATTTCAGATCAATATTTGATTAAGATGGTATTCTTAGAATATCTTCAACAATTTGAAGAATTAAGATCCTGTTCTTTAAAGTCAAAGCTTACCTCTACTACATGCAATTAGGTGCTCTGCATTGCAACTACATTATTTTAACACTGGTGTAATTATAGTATAATTCAAATGTTTGAGGCAGAATTAAACAATACTCACTCCCACCAGTCATGTTGACCAATACAGTTTGTTCCCTTAAATTCAGAGTAAAACTGCAGGCACCTAAATTGGACTAGGTGCAATAACGTTAAGTGTTTTACGGAAAAGAGAACATTCAGGTCACTTCTCCCAGCTGCGCATACAGCTTGATTGGCCCAGAAAACCCAGAACAAACTCAGGTGGGTCAGGACAAACATGAATTCACATTATTTTGAGAAGGTACAAGAAACAGGAGCACCAACTCCAACAACACTGGGACACACAAAATAGCATTGACAAATCTGGGGCAGAACTAGATCAAAGGCAACCTGAATGGGGGGGTACACTAGAGTTAAAACAGTAACACAAATTGCTTTCATAGATTTTTCATAGATTCATAGAATGTTACGGCACAGAAGGAGGCCATTCGGCCCATCGAGTCTGTGCCGGCTCTTTGACAGAGCAAGTCACTTTCACTAACCCCAATCACCAGCTTTCTCCCCATAACCCTGCAAACCCGTCTTCCCCAGATACCTATCCAGTTCTCTCTTAAAAGCTGTTGTTGAATCGGACTTCACTACCCTTTCAGGCAGATCATTCCAAATTCAAACAACTCGCTGAGTGAAAACATTTCTTCTAACCTCCCTTCTGCTTCTTTTGGTAGACATCTTAAGACTGTGACAACGGGTCACAGACACACCTACCAGCGGAAACAGCTCTTCCCTATCTAGCCTGTCGAAACCTTTCATGATCTTAAAGACCTCTATCAGGTCCCCGCGTAACCTTCTCTGCTCTAATGGGAAAAGCCCTAACTTCTCCAGCCTGTCCTCATAGCTAAGGTTCCCCATTCCTGGTATCATTCTCGTGAATCTCCTCTGCACCCTTTCCAGTGCTTTAATGGCCTTTCTGAAGTAAGGTGCCCAGAACTGGATGCAGTACTCCAGCTGAGGCCTAACCAGTGTTTTGTATAGATTAACCATAACCTCCCTACTCTAAAACTCTATGCCCCTACTAATAAAGCTCAGTACACCAAATGCCTTTTTTACTGCCTTATCTACCTGCCCCGCTACCTTTAATAATTCGCTTACTTGAACACCCAGATCTCTCTGTACGTTCACCCGTATCTCCCACAGTAACCTTACAGAAGATCCTGTCAGTGCCTCTTACTATTGAATCCCCTATCACAACTGTATTGCCCTTGTGAACCATGCGCTTTGTCCTGTTGGACAGAATGTCCACTGCTGTCCTCACGAGAGGCTTCCACGCTCTCGATAGCTAGTGTTGAGTACCTATTAGAGACTGGTACTCTGTTGGGGGTGTTCTGCCTTGAACAAGCTCTCTTCTTGCCCCGTCGCACTGTCACCCAATCACTTTTAGCATGAATGAAGGGTGGTTGTGTGTTGGGCTTTCATGTGACTTCAGTTTTGAACAGTTTTAACCACTGACAGTCACTGCTCTAGTACTAAATTATCCTTAGCACATAAACATCCTCACAAATTCAAGCAGTCTCCAAAATTTTGTAAATCGATACATCACCAGTTCAAGAGGCATGCAAAAATTCAAACATTATTTAGAAGAAACAATTTCAACGGTTGGAACTTCAAACAAGGAAGTAAAATGTGTACAGAAGGCTTGAGGTAAATACCTGACAGAACAGATTCAAGGATTTTTAAAAAAAAAATCTACAACTTTTTCTTTTGACACAACATTGATTTTCTCTATCAAAGAATTTGCAGAATGCTGACATTCCACGTAATTCTTACACAACTGTCCAAGACCTATAATAATTACAGACTAATAGTTTGGAACATATCCCTACCTGCCAGTGCAGTGTTAAAGTCCCAAAAATCAGAGTCAACAGAGCTCCAAGATAACGAGGATGAAGAAGACATTTGTGAACAGATTCAAGAAACTAACAGCTTCAA